TGCGCGCATCGCGGCTTCCAGTGGCACACCTCTGTCTCCAGCTTTGAGACCGTTGCTTCCTCTCGAGTCAGACTGGGCGAGCTGGAGAAAATGGAGTGGCGCTGGAAACGCGAAGCGCGCTCGTGACTCGTCGCCGCGCGAGGCTCTCTGTTTCTTGGCAGACTGCCCGACTCCCAGGGCTGGTCCTCGGTACGCTTGGACGCTGAGTGCGATTTGGTGCCTACCGTGAAAGACCCGCGACAACATGGGCCTTCTGTCTTACTTTTGTTTTTCTCCTTGTTTTACGGCCGTTCGAGAGCGGCTCTGTCAAATCTGTCATAGCAGACCGTGAGACCGCGCCTCGACCCGCCGGCGCCGAGCCGTTTCAACGTCGGCGGGAAGCCGCTTAAGGCGCACTTAAGTTGCCGGTGAGAGCACTATCGTTCTCTTTCGAATCGCACTTGGCGCAAAGCGAATTTCTTCTACCCGGACTCAGCGATCGGTGCTTACATTTACTCGCGTCAAATAAATACGTTCTATGAGATTAGGCAAAACTGCCTGCAAAGGAACAACGTCAACGACCTGAGTGCCGGACAGTTGTATTACGAGGGTATACAGGACCCGTGAGACAAAACACTGACCATGCAAGAGGCGTTTCTTGTCACTGCGCGAACTCAATTCGTAGCTTATCTTTTTGGTTTGAGATAATGGGGTTACCACGTGCTCTGTATAAACTCAATGATATCTGGGACACAATGGGCTGATACCCCGATAAAAATATGAGGCACACCTCCGTCGATGGTTCCGGAAATTTGGCCATCTCGTGTTCTTCAACGTGCACTAACATTGCGTAGCACGCAGGACTCTATTGCAGTCTGCTTCCGTCGAAATGCGTCCGGGATCGATCGCCTGCTACTTTCGGGTCAGCAGCCGAGTACAGTAAGCGCTAGGCCACCGTGGTGGACGTGGTCTTAAAACATGTGAGGCAACTGGGCCGAACATATGTTCCTATTTATGCCAAATAATAGGCGTAATAATAAAAATTGTTGGGCTTGAACTTCCCAAAGCCACGATATAATTATGAGACGCCGAAGGGGAGACCTCCGCCAGTTTGAATCACCTCGGGTTCTTTGAAATGCAACTAAATATAGGTACACAGGCCTCTATAGCGTTTTCGCCTCCATCGCGAATACGGCCGCCACAGCCGGGGTTCGATCCCGTGACCTGCAGGCTACCGGTATACCAATATACCACCGTGGCGGAGAAAACAATAGAAATTGCGCCTAATTTACAAGAACATTCAACGCTTTCAACGTCTATTACTTTCTCGAGTCTGGAACGCGTCTTTTTTTTTTTAATATGTGGTATGTTAAAGTCTGAACAACTCCGCCGTAGTCAAATTCACAAGACGCCTTGATATATGTATATCGAGCATCAAACTCCTTAAGGTGGACGCTTGAAGTGTGTTGAAAAATGCGTGGTAGAGTTCTGAAGAAGGCACTTTCGCGCGAAGTCGAAGCACAGAAAGCGATAGCAAGGTGTAATAACAGCATGTAAGACTGGATTTTAGGTGGTGATACATACAGAGAAAGAAATTCGGCGCACGAAAAAGACACGGTCAAAGAAAAACGACCGGGCCGATGGACTGACTTCCAATGGAATGTCAATTCAACAGAGGCGAAACGTATATACGTTTGAACCATGCGCACAGGCGCTCGACTCGCTCGCTGGATTCCGTGCCGACGACAGCGCCGCTCTGGCTGACCGGCTCGCCCTCCGCCATCTCCTGACGCCGCGAAGCTCTCGCCGAGGAGTCCTCGGACTCCTTCGACCGTGTCCCCATCAATCTCTATCTTATATTTACTTCTCACTCTGTTCCTTTTAACCCCTCCTTACCCCCATCCCTCGTGAGCCACTGTTGAGGTGTCGCACTCTGATGCAGACAGTTACGGGGCTCACATTTGTCTTCTTTTCTCTCACTTAAGAATTACTTCCCCCCAGGCGCTGAGAGATATGGCTGAACAGAATCTCAAGAGCTTTAATCAATACTCTCCGCCCCCTCATTGTCGTCGCATTACATTTTGCTTTATCGGCTCAGCCAGACCTCTAAGTGCCCGTGTTCAAACGTATACGTTTCGGCTCTCTTGCATTACCAGTCTGTCAGAAGTCAGCGCATCTTCCCGTGGTCTTTCTCCGACCGCGTCTTTTTCGCGCACCACACTTTTTCTCGAAGCAAGGCATAAATTTGGCATTACCCTGACGGCGTATCAGACAGCTGTCACGGTGAGGAGGACGCCAACGGCGTTGCGAGTGTTGTAATCTCGCAGGTACACAAAACTATGCGTACATAGATAACACTCATGCCAACCGCGGAATTCACGACGCTTCGCTGGCATCAGAAGATCCCACTGAAGGCAGCACCCCGGTGCCATCTAGTTGGATTCTTACTGTGTGCAGCCAAGTGCACTGGAGGTCTCCAACGTGGTCTGAAACCTCCACTTGCGATGACACAGACGTGTCTCAGACGTCTGTCTAAGGGCAAAGGATTTCCGGCGAAAAACATCTGAGAAATTTGTATCTGCAAAGTGATATGAAGTCAGGTCGATGACTTTTTTTTCGCGAAAGAGATCATAAAAAGCGATTTATTTATTTTCCACGATGTTTCGCATGTCTAGCAGTAATAGGAGGCAGTTTTTTTGTGGGTGCGCGACCGGCGTATTTTAGAACCGAATTGAAGACAAGTCGAATAGTCATGACACCGAATCAAATAGGCATACAGATCGAATATTCTTCGAATAGTTTCCGAATAATAAGGCAACAACCTTGAAAGCAGCCCTAAACTATGACCATCTTCAAAACAGCCCATGAATTCAACATATTATTTGAAACACATGTTCACAAGTTTTAACAAAGAACATTATGATTACTTTCAACGAACAAAAAATTGTACAATTATGCAAACTGACCTGCAACTAGAGCTTTCGAAATATTTTGTAACTGCATGACTTAATTACTGCAGCGACTTCAGAAAACTGATCCTTCTATGTTCAGCAATTTTCGTCAGTTAACATCATCATGAATTTCAGAGTGAAGTTGATTATGACACTGCTGCTTCAGCGGCACTGGAGTAAAAAAGAAAAGCGCCTTTCGAGAATTTTCAGCCGTCGCTGATTATTCGGAAATTATTCGCAAGACTTTTCGGTATTTCGCACATTCACTATTCGATTCGTGATTCAAAATTTTCGAATATTCGCACACCCCTATAGCTTAAACGCAGTCTTCGGTGATCGCGCTGCAACGTATTCGGATTCACTTGGCACACACAAACAATTAATTATCCGAAGATAACGACCCTGATTATTTCGCTTCATGTGCGTCGCAGTGCAAATGTACACCGAAGTTAGAGGAAACCACTCTCTCATCAGAAGTGCATGCATAACTAAGTGGAAAGGAAGTTTACTTGATGAAACAGGCAGGTCGTATGAATGTGCCATTGCATTGTTCCTTTATCTTTTTTTAAAAAGAAATCAATTTGACTCGAAAAATGAAATCCTAACACGCGCGTCCTCACTCTATTGTTTTTATCTTGCCTCGTGCCTTTGCGATGGTACAGATGTATGTATGTATGTATGTATGTATGTATGTATGTATGTATGTATGTATGTATGTATGTATGTATGTTATGTATGTATGTATTATGTATGCATGCATGCATGCATGCATGCATCATGTATGTATGTATGTATGTATGTATGTATGTATGTATGTATGTATGTATGTATGTATGTATGTATGTATGTATGTATGTATGTATGTATGTATGTATGTATGCATGCATGCATGCATGCATCATGTATGTATGTATGTATGTATGTATGTAACAAAACATCACGAATTAAACAGTTCCTAGTTTCGCGCTGAGGTGTGTCCAGTCCCTCCAAGTACAACCGCGGCGTGGTTAGCCGGCATGATGCTCCGCACCCGTCCTTCCAAAGTAAGAACGTTCCATCTTACTCGGGCAGCGCGATTACAAATTGATCATCCACAGCGAGCCAGGGGCTCGGCTCTCACTGCCTCGCTATACGGAACAGGCAGGGTATAGTATAGAAACAAAGGCAACGCCCAATCTGACGCTCGTTGGCGGGCCTGCGTGCGTGACCCCGTGTCAATCACCGGCCACGACGGGGTAATTAAAGTTTTCGCTGACGGAATGACGGCCCGCCGACGGGCCATTGTGGCGCGAGACATCGATTGAGACGCACGACGGCGGTTCGGCGCGATCGCGCGTGCTCCGTGTCTCTCAACGGCCCGCGCTGAGACTCGAGCAGCAACGACGGCGGCCTTACGCAAACACGCGCATCGCCGTTTTTCTCGCCCCTTCTCCCTTTCCAGCCTTTGTTTGTTCGAAGCGAGTGTATACCGCGAGCGAGCCTTGATTGTACTGCGTGGGAACCCACTGGTTGATGTCTTCCTTGCGAAACAAAGGAGGAGAGTCTCGCTAATAGTTTGCACTTCATTTGAGACGGAGCCCTTGACGCGGGTTTTCTGGAGCAGCAATATCGCTGTGCAACGCGTGTTAACTGTCGATTTCACGGACATCAAAATAAGGTACAAGTTCAAGGGAAGATGGAAGCTCGAAAAGATTAAATATTCATGTAAAGTGGGTGTCGCTGGAGCCGATGTTTCGGAAAGCGATCCTGTCTTCTTCAAGGCTGCAGCCTTGAAGAAGACGTTTCGGCAAGCGGTCTTGTCTTCTTCAAGGCTGCATCCTTGAAGAAGACAGGACCGCCTGCCGAAACGTCCGCTCCAGCGACACCCACTATTCATGAATATTTCATCTCTTCAAGCTTCCATCTTGCCTTGAACGTGTACCTTATTTTCTTGAAGAGATGAAATATTCATGAAGAGTGGGTGTCGCTGGAGCCGACGTTTCGGCTGCAATTACCATCCGCCAATTTGTTTTCACGTCTCGGACAGACATTAAAATAAAATTCGGACATAAAGCGTGGCAGTATACTCACCTTATGTCAGTCGGGAGTGAGGTATCGTCGTCATAGGGACTTGGTTTCCTGCGCGAGAGAAATATGGGTAAATAAAGCAACGCATCCTGCAGTGTTCGGGATAAACGAGCAAACGAACGAGTCATGGTCCCGTCGAAGGCAGCAGGCAACGGTGCAAGCAGGCTTCGGGCAGTGTGCCTTATGCAATCGCGTGCGCAGGCGCCGTTCTTTTTTGTGTCGTCGCTGCGAATGCAGGGCGTGGACGTTGATTCGGCTCGCCTTGCCTTATCCCCGTCGTGCGAGGTCGCGTGCCTTGCTATCTCACGCATGATTGATCGGCACATCGGGCGCATTTCCCGAAACTCACCTCTGCTCGCCATATCCTTTGCTGATGATACATATTGCTCCTTTTAGTTTCTGGCTTTCTGAAGAGCACCTGCACCGGTCAGTCATTTGCACATTTAATTTTTAGCCTTAGCGGTGGACACTGAGCGATATTTGTTTTTATGCTATGATCAATCAACCGAGAATCTTAATATATGCCAAACGCCGGTTCGTGAGCCGAGTACCGATCTATCAAAGCAGCGCATTCTTTTGGTCTTCCTCTTTGCCGTTTTTAAATAAATAACTCTTACTTAGTAACCTATTCAAGAACACTAATATATATATATATATATATATATATATATATATATATATATATATATATATATATATATATATATATATATATATATATATATATATATATCGATGGCCATAATCGGTTATCAAAAGGTGAGGGTTGAATTCACAAACGTTTTCGTTCGTTAGTGTTGTTCGCCTCCGTAAGCGTTCTTTTCTGCTGGACATATCATTAGCGAAGACAGCCGGCCTCGCTAATGATATGTCCAGCAGCAGGATTGGCTGAAAATTTTTTCTTACGAATATCTATAGCGTAAGAGAATTCTTGTGAATGCTGATTGTATACTCATTCATTCTGCCGTTAAGAACTGTCAAAAGCCCTCACTCCATCACGTCGAAAGCCTGTTCAGCACTCACGCAGGCTTCCGATATGCCTCAATAGAGGCTGCGGAGGCCAGCCCTTGGTAACAACTTTTTCCGAGAGGGTAAACGGCAGCTTCTCATGTAAATCCTTTGCACTATGGATGAAGCATCGAACAAGTCTTGTTTTCGAGAGAGAGAGAGAGAGAGAGAGAGAGAGAGAGAGAGAGAGTTACCCGCTCTCTGTAACTTCGACATTTCGCATTCTCTGAGTTAATCAAGACCTTGTGTGAGCTTGACCTTTCGAGTGCTGTTTATCGCACTGTACAATTCGCGTTTGTCTGTTGCCTTACCCCTGAAGTCCCCCCTTTTTCCCCCCTTTTATTAGCGAAGCTGGCGGAACTAACGTCAGAATATTCCACGTGGTGTCAATTTACAAGAGATGTGGCGGGGCATTTGCCTACGCCACGCATTTATTATTCGCAATGCCGGTCCATCTCTGCTACGAAACCTTTCGAAAGGGGTTCGCCCGAAGACAAAGCGTTCAGAGAATAACGAGCAGGCCACAGGAATTGCAGTGAGGCGACCAGAACCATAGCGTAGGAGCTTCGCGGGATATCGTACGCGTGGGTGGCACCGTTGGGATCTGTATTGGTTACTTGCAGGAGGAGGCTTTCGCGAAAGGAGCGCTGTGCACCGGCGCGTTGCTCCCCCCCCCTTTTTTTTTTTTTTCTTGCTCTCCTCCTATAGGGAGCAAGCCGTTCGATCACCGTCGGAGCGGCAAACCTGGATCTTTTCGGTGTCGACGTCGCGGGCTCGCCCTGTTGCCGGGTGCCGCTTTTTTTGGGTCGCTCCTTGTGACCACAGGATCAAAGAGCGGCGTCACGCATAACTCTGACACGGCAAAGGAAGGGGACAGGTGCGAAAGGTTGACCAGTTTATAAATGTCGGCATGCCATTCTACACCGGCGACTGGGATGAGAAAGTTCCTCTTCAGCCCTATAATGCCTTAGCGCGATCGTTAAAAAGAAACTGCGAAGGATACAGCAGCATACGCGTAACATTTGACTGTACGAACTATGAATAAGACACCATTTGTTCTTAGGTTTTCAATTAAAATACATCATAATTACCGTTGCCGAAACTAATTATCTAAGAACATACGTTCGCGATATATATATATATATATATATATATATATATATATATATATATATATATATATATATATATATATATATATATATATATATATATATATATATATATATATATAAAATAAGGGAAAGAAGTGTATACCTAAGGGCTCGTTTTTCCGTGTTTTTAACACAATAATAATGAGAATAACAGACAGTAATGCCAAGGAATGTACAGGGGAAGTTATTAACATTAATGGAATGTAAATAAGAAGAAAGAAAAGTGGATGAAAAAAAGAAGAAAGAAAAGTGGATGAAAAAATTACCAACTGTAAGCAGGAATCGAACCTACGACCTTCGAATATATATATATATATATATATATATATATATATATATATATATGTATATATATATATATATATATATATATATATATATATATATATATATATATATATATATATATATATATACATATATATATATATATATGTATGTGTGTGTGTGTGTGTGTGTTTGCTGAACGTACGATGTGAAAAGATGCGTGAGAATAACCATTTAATAAAACCTACAATTCAGTTGACTGGGCCAAGAAGGCTGCCCATGCGTCTCTCATAATCATATCGTGGTTTTGGGACGTTAAACCCCACAAATCAAGAAGGCTGCCCACGTGGAAACATCGAGATCCCGCGTTTTGTTTCTTCTGAAGGGCTTTTATGAACGACCACTAAAGGAGCCATTGCGCTTGCATATTGGTTACACTATACAATGGATTAAGGGTAATGTAACGATTTCTTCAACTTTCGATCTATTCCTTTCCTTCATCCACCGTACTCAGCAGTACAATCCGGACACTAACGTTAACGGCGCACCACTTCAGCCACTTTTGAAGCCAAAAGGTATAGGATAGACAAAACAGTTGCACTTTTTCGGATCCGGTTCTTATTTTCGTGTAGCTTCTATGCTTTGCAATGAAGAGTCTGGGGAAAGGAAGGCGCTTAACGTTAATGACCAACTCCTGTAATGTTTGTGTGTAGCTTAGCAGAAAATTTATTTGAAATATTTGGCTAGACGAAGGCGAGAAATGTTTTTTCAAATAAACCTGCTACTCGCTAAAGCCTTCGTTCCCCACCAATGCTTCTAGGCTACGTTATCGGACGCCGTTCAGCAACTCTCAGGCTTGTAAACAGCGAAATGGTCTATAGGTGGTTCGACACTATATGCCTATCACTTTTCTAATCTATTTTGCTTCGAAATTCCTCCAAAATTATTCAGAAGTGTTTTCATTGTTTTATATAAACGATCAATAAATAAAAGAAAGTGTGATAAAATGGAAGCCGTAATCCTCATTAGTAAAATTTTTGATAGGGGTTCGTCCCACAAGTTTGGCGCACCAAAGCTCTTTGAGTGTGCCCGCTTTGGATCAAGCAGGAGCTAAGATTTTTCGAATGGGGTCTGCGGCACTTTGTAGGGATCCCCCTTCTGGGTCACTCTATATAGTCTTAGCCCAGGGCCGTCGCTTCAGTGGGTGCCGCCATGTTTGTATAGCGCAAAGCTTTTCGGGCAGGATTTTAGGCTCCCACGCGTCCCCAACGCAAAACTCCAACCCTGTTCGGGTCTCGCACATGTGCAGTGGCTCAATTTGATCGGAGCCCCAAAACGTCTGGGGCCCCCCTACATACGAAAGCTCCCCAGTAATTCTTCCTATAATTAGCCAAAGAGGCCAGCTTCAATTTTTTTTCGGCAAAAGCCACATCTCGCGCAGTTCTCGAGCGAAACCTGGTCGAACCTGCAGGAGCGCGTAGGAGGGCCGGAGCGTGCACCACATCAGCTCCGCCCTCAGACAAGTGCGCATCTGGAAGCCGCACACTTTCGCCGAGCGGCTGTTTTTTTCGCGAGGCCTGCCGTTCCTCTAAAATTAGAGTTCGCCGAACGGGCAGGCAGGCACAGTCGACGACTCCTCTGGCACCTTCGCGGCTGCACCTTCGCAGAAGGGCACCTCGGCTGCCGACCGCGGCGACACCGTGTGCTGCGACACACCGTGTGTGTGGCCGCACTGCACGACGAAGCGTTGCGCAAATTTTCTTCGCGTCTCTGCGCCTCCCGTGAACACTTGGCGCTGGTTTGCGGCCGGTTCTGGGACCTGGCTGTCTGTACGATGAATCACACAGCGCGCACCGTCGCTCGCCCTTCCTGCCTGTGTAGCGTGCGAAGCGAAGCTATAGTCGTAACGGTTAACCGGCCTCGGGATTCGGTTCAGTCCCGGGTGTGGGTAATTTATGCGCGGTCGGAGTAGCAGCTTCGGCTAACTTCGAACTTCACCGACCCACCTTGTTTTCCAATCGTTTTGCAGTGCGTATTTTCCTCCCGTTAATTACTCTTCTCCGAGAAAACTCCAATATTAATGCGGCGGAAAAAATAATGCAAGCATAAGAAACTATACTGTGGCTGTATACTATAGGTCGCAAACACCGTCTTTGTACCTAATTGGAGACCGCAAAGTTGTTGCTGACGTTGATTTTCGTTTGCTCATTTCATTATGTTCACTTGAAATTGCTCCTTTCGAGTGCTCGCTGAAGCTGACTGCAATACAGTGCAAGTGTATTTCCGACAAGTTGCAGTGGTTATAGTTTTCTAAAAATATTTTTCTTGAAGGACATTTGTTGAGCCGTCTAATTAAGGAAAATAAGTGGCCGCACAATTATTTCGTATTCATTTTTCTTATTATGTTCCATAGCTAGTTGTGAGAAATACAAGTGTGAAGCATGGCAGTGATTTCACTGAACGTTGAAAGAGCACTGAATTTCCTGCTTCTGGGTGTATAAACCAATTCTGTTATTAGTTTCGTTTTGCTGTGTATATTTAGCAAAATTGTATATTAATTTGTCATTATCTGGAGTTCTTTTTTGTGTAGTTGTGGCTTTTTATGTAAACATTTTCTTATAT